CTTGAATAAGTTGATTTTTATCACTTAGAGATCAGCATAAGACAAAAAATTTACAAACCAGTACAGAAACGACTTTATTCAGAAACAACCAACTTTTAGGGCTTCAATAAAACCAAAGCGGTAATAATGAATGTAGCACTGATTATGTGTGTTTTCTCGAAGGTTCTTGATTTCAGTTCTATTACACCGTAACACAAATGAAGACAAAGACTTCCACCAAGTATTTTTAGAATGTTACTGATAACTGTTCTAGATAGATGGCTCTGGACAACTGTATTGTTTTGATAACTTGATACCTTAGTTCCAAATGTTTCCTTGAAGACAGTAAATTAAACAGAGACAATCATTCAGCAGAATATGATTCAACAATGGAACGACTTCAGTAATTCTTTCATCTCAGAAACACTATGTTGGACAGAATAGAAGACACCAGGGCCGACCCAGTGGCGCACTCGGGAGAGTGTGGCGCTGGGAGTGCAGCGATGCTCCCGCCGCGGGTTCAGATCCTATATAGGAGTGGCCGGTGCACTCACTGGCTGAGCACGGTGTGGGCGACACCACACCAAGGGTTGCGATCCCCTTACCAGTCACGAAAAAGACACACACAAAAAAAGTTAATGAAGCAATGTTGCTGGGTATTTGAAAATTTTCATTAAAAAATGTTGTGGATAATTAGGAAAACCAAAATACCACACGTTCATGATTGTTTTTTAAAGAAGAGTTCCAAAAATAACAGTTATTAATTTGCCAATTAATAACTTTTAGCACAATTGGACTTTTTTCTCAACCAATTCATCTTGGAATTGCAACATACAAGTATACGCTGGGACAATCCTGCAGAGGTGCTACTTTCTGGGTTTATGTGTTAAGGGCCATGACCAAATGGAAATAACCAGCCTAGTGTTTCTTTCAAAAGTAAAGGATAAACTGGTCTATCTACACCAAGTGATTCTACACAGCAATGAAAAGGAATAAACTATTTTTTTTTTTTTTGTCTTTTTCCGTGTCCGGCAACGGATCGCAACCCTCGGTGTTGCTCTTGCGCCTTGCTCAGCCAGTGAGCGGGAACCGGTCTGTATGTGGGATCCGAACCCTCGGGCGGGAGCGCCACCGCACTTCCCAAGCGGCGCACTATCCAGTGCGCCACCGGGCCGGCCCCAGGAATAAACTATTAATACACAAATCAACATGGAAAAATTGCAAAATGGCTATACGGACCTAAAAAGAATCCAGACCTCCACCCTCCCCAAAAATACATCCTGTTCGATTCCGCTACATAAAACTCTACAAAATGCAGACCAGAGGTTGGGGGGGGTGGAAATAGAGGGAGAGGAAGGGCAGATGGACCACAAAGAAGCATGAGGAAGCTTTTCGGGGTGCTGGATATAGTTATTATCTTAATTGTGGGGATGGCTTTGTGGCTGTACACATATATCAAAATTTAACAAATTATATACTTTAAATGGATGCTGTCTATCGTATATCACTTAAATGTTAATCAAGCTGCAAAAAGATCAAGTATGGGCCGGCCTGGTGGCGCACTGCTATAGTGCGCCGCTTGGGAGCGCGGCGTCACTCCTGCCGAGGGTTCGGATCCCACATACAGACCGGTTCCTGCTCACTGGCTGAGCGAGGTGCGGGCGCAACACCAAGGGTTGCTATCCTGTTGCCGGTCCTGGTCTGGTACGGGCACGACACTGAGGGTTGCGATCCGTTGCCAGACACGAAAAAATACAAAAAAAAAAGATCAAGTATATTTTAGAGTTTGAGTTTTTTATTTCCCTGACAAAAATTGCAAGTATTTTAAAAGAATAGTTAACTTATGAATTTATTGGCCAATTTATAATTGAGAAAAATAAATTACAGACTTACTTTGGATAAGTAGCCTAGTTTTTCTTCTGAGTATTCATCACCTGCATAAAATCTTGTGGAAAATGTCCAAAAAAACACTCAACCTACATAAAAAATGAGAAAAAAAAGCAATCAAAATTCCGTATTAAAGATACAAATGAGAGAAACATAGATATGTTGTAGATATGGGGATAACTGAGAGAGATAGGCAGCTGCTATTATAATTCTACTGGAATCATTATTCCAATAAAAATTAAGTATAAAATATTCTTAAGCCCAAGTTTCTAAGACCATTGATGTTTTCTTTCAACACTCATTTTCACTGTGAACCAGGGCACATAACGGCAGATTTCTGAAGTACAAAAAGACTCACGTAATAGAAAAATCTAATCTATTATATGGTTGAAATAATGAGAATCTAAACTAATTAAAAGCACAATTTTATACAGCCACTAGTAAGAATTCACCTTCATATTTCATAGTATTGGACGTAAACCAAATGAGTAACCGTGAAAATTAGTATGTAAAAAGATAAAAAATTTCTGGAATATATGGTCACTACAACAAAAGGCAAACATAGCTTTTTACAAAACACCTGAATGAGAGAATTTGGAAAAGGGAAAGAAATCAGAGATATATGAAGAATGAAGAGAAATTTAGCTGGTTTAACTGTTCTCACTCAACCACAGGTCACAGCAAACTCCGTACTCATACATGGGGTGATACCACAGTTTTATAATCTCCCAAATAGTTTTTCTGAATCCTGGGCCATCAACACTGGAAGTAATCTTTATGTCCAACAACCCATCTGAT